CACAGAAATACCTCGCACGATCATAGAAAATAACTGAAATAACATGGAAGTCCCATAGGAATCTCACAGAAATCCCATAGAAAGACCATAGAAATAACATGGAAATCCCATAGGAATCTCACAGAAATCCCATAGAAAGATCATAGAAATAACTGAAATAACATGGAAGTCCCATAGGAATCTCACAGAAATCCCATGGAAAGATCATAGAAATAACATGGAAATCCCATAGGAATCTCACAGAAATCCCATAGAAAGATCATAGAAATAACATAGAAATCCCATAAGAATCTCACAGAAATCCCATAGAAAGATCATAGAAATAACATGGAAATCCCATAAGAATCTCACAGAAATCCCATAGAAAGATCATAGAAATAACATGGAAATCCCATAGGAATCTCACAGAAATCCCATAGAAAGATCATAGAAATAACATGGAAATCCCATAAGAATCTCACAGAAATCCCACAGAAAGATCATAGAAATAACATGGACATCCCATAGGACTCTCACAGAAATCCCATAGAAAGATCATAGAAATACCATGGAAATCCCATAGGAATCTCACAGAAATCCCATAGAAAGATCATAGAAATAACTGAAATAACATGGAAATCCCATAGGAATCTCACAGAAAGATCATAGAAATAACATGGAAATCCCATAAGAATCTCACAGAAATCCCATAGAAAGATCATAGAAATAACATGGAAATCCCATAGGAATCTCACAGAAATCTCATAGAAGGATCATAGAAACATCATGGAAATACCTTGGAAAACCCACAGGAATCCAATAGAAATTCCATAGGAAAGATCATAGAAATACCATAAAAATCCCATAGGAACCCAATGGAAATCCCATAAGAATACCATAGAACTCCCATAGCACCCCTTCAGAAATCCCATAGAAATCCTCCAGAAATATCATAGAAACACCATGGAGACCTCATAGGAATTCCATAGAAATCCAATAGTAATACCATAGAAATACCATAAAAGAAAAAAACTTTAGCAAAGGAAAAGGAAAACGAAATGGTTGAAAAAAACATAACCTCAGGAAGCAGCTGGACACAATAGTGTACCCTCCAAACAAACCACACTATTGTGTATCAGGGTTGCTCATGGACTACCCCCTTGAAAAATTGTTTGAGTGATGTTTTTTAATTGAGTTTTAATAAGGCATCATATATTTTGGGAAACTGGGCATTTCTGAGAATTTCAAATGAAAGAAACTAAGAAAGAAATTGATTGAAAGGAAAACACTTTAGCTAGCAAAGGAAAAGGTAAAGGAAATGATTGAAAAAAAACAAAAAATCATGACCTCAGGAAGCAGCTGGACACAATAGTGTACCCTCAAACAAACCACACTATTGTGTATCAGGGTTGCTCATGGACTGCCCCCTTGAAAAATTGTTTGAGTGATGTTTTTTAATTGGGTTTTAATAAGGCATCATATATTTTGGGAAACTGGTCATTTCTGAGAATTTCAAATGAAAGAAACTAAGAAAGAAATTGACTGAAAGGAAAACACTTTAGCTAGCAAAGGAAAAGGTAAAGGAAATGATTGAAAAAATCAAAAAAATCATGGCCTCAGGAAAGCAGCTGGACACAATAGTGT